TAAGCGAATAATCAGTGGTTGTTTCCATTTAAAAAAACGAAAATTGTGATAATATCTCAAAATCTAAAACCGACAAATTTTTTTTGACTACGTCATCAAATTCTCTGTAAATAAGTGTCCATATAATGTCTTAGTTATAATACTCCACCTATAATAATAACCAAGATAATTACATTTGCGGGTTTTACGATATTTTCAATTTTGGCCTCTAGCGGAAAAACAAAAGACGATAGCGTTATGAGGTTTTCGGCATTAGCAATTTCTCGAAAAACGAGATCATGACATGTCAGCTACTTTTCTTCTAACTCTTATAGTTTTCGAGTTAGCCTATTCGGACATCGAATTTGAACCACCCTGTACAGCAGACATATTAAACTAATGCTATCTCTTTCCAACACACATTACTCTCTAGCGGTTTGTGAACTACGTATGGCATTTGTAACAACGGAAAATGATGATTTACTGCCAGCTCTCGTGGTGTCTACTATAGTCGTCATTTATAATAATTGATAAGATAACATCTCACTAAAATATTTTTTATTAAAACTTTGCAAATTTAACTTGGTAAATTGAACGAAAATGTTGTAACACCCCCTCGAGCGGAGTTTTCAGGAAAACAGCGCGCTTTCCACTCCAACCGCCGCAGTTTTCCGTGTCGTGTACTTCTCATAATGAGCACGGTCATTACTGAGACGCCCTAATGAAATGCTTTCCTTTCGCGACCGTTTTTTCTCTCATTTTTTCTCCGAGTTTGAGGGGGTTACGGCAAATGAAAAGCGTTTTTTTATTCCTTCCCTTATGTGTTTACAATTAGTAGTGTAGCGTTACCTTTGACCGGGGTCGCGTGGACTTCATTGAGCGTGGTGCGTTTTCAAAACTAGGTACCTATTTACAGAAACGCGATACGTTTTAATTTAATGATGATTCTACTTTTTTTTTGTTATCATCGTTTACACGTTGAATTTCTCGTTAACGCGTATAGTGAGTCGGGCGATGCAAAACCGAGGGGCAAACAATCTCCGTTTACCGTCATCGACGTTGCGCACAAAGGATATTCTCTTAAACAACCACGCTCGCCGAGGAAGTTAATCTAGATTTAAATCTCGACAAGAACTTACAGTACAGCATCCCAACACGTTCCCCTTAGGCAGTTGATTACTTCCTTCGGTATGATAAACTGTGGCTTCAGCAATGTCGTGTTACGTGTTACGAGCAGAGTCGTGTTTGTATTTTACCTTCGTTAATTTGACGGGTCGCGTGTTTAAACACCTCAACAGTAAACGCCTAATCAAATGCAATTCACGTTCATTTAGTTAATTGGTAATTACTTTGAAACGCTTTGGGAACAAAATGACGTGGGTGCGTTCTACAAACAAAACATTAACTCTCATCGTTAAGAAAGCAATTAAACAAAGGTGTCTTCGATTAATTATAAAGATTCGATGTCTCGAAGTTAATCTTCACGGGCACAATGCCAATTCTAGCAATGGATGTTCTGCTTGACGTATCTCCTTTGCGTTTATATATAAAGAAAGTGGCTAGAACTACCATTTACAGGTTTAAGCAATGTGCTAAAACTACTCCGACATGTCCTACCATGGGTTGCGAAAGACACTATAAGCACTGATATTGTGCTGATATGAGTGCCGTCAGATTTGAGAATCCAAACGAAGACTAATCAGCAGATTCTCTACACATGTAGAGAGAAGCTTGCAGCGTCAAATGAAACGTAATCAGCCTGACAAGGGTACAGAGAGCCATCCTAATAAAAACTATCAGTGCGTATAGAACTAGCTCAACTGAAGCGCTACAGGTAGTGGGTAATTCGTTGCCAATAGATCTTATGATAACGAGAAGAGCGGCCGTGTGGCGGGGTTGAGGAGAAGGTATTTAAGGAATGGGGGAGAAAGTGGAGGGCTGACATCGAAAAGGCGAGGTGGTCCAAGAGGTTGTTCCCCGACTTGAAAGTTCCAGAAAAGACACTCACAATCAGACATCTGCGATTTCTGTGAGAAAAGTAATGACGTTGAGCACACTTTCTACAAATGCGCCAGATGCAGGGAAGACAGAGTCAGGGTCGAGGAACGCATAGGTTCGGTGATCACTCCTGAAAAAAAGACGCGTTTGTTTCATGTTTTGTGGTTGTTCTCAACTCGATAAGGAGGAAGAAAAGACGGGTGATCCTATGGGTCCCCCTCGTCTCGGTACGTATGGTAATGTAGTTTCCATAAAAACTCTGTTGCTGTTTCTGTTTTGTTTTCGGAAGGTGAGGAGAGAGAGGAACAAGAAGAAGACAGCATACGCGGTTGGTTGATGGTGAAAACGCGGTAACGTAGATTCACCCCATCGCGGAGGATATGAAGATAAGGGTTTTTAGTCGGTCGGATACCCAAAGATGGGATTCAACCAGACACTACCTGACCGTCCAACATCCCAAGTCAGGTGTCTGGTAGCAGATTTTCCACGACCTCTCGAAATAAAAAAAAAGGTTGGGTTGGGTTGGGTTGGGTTCACAATACAGGATTATCTGAATGAGAGATACGTGGAATATGAACAGAAGACCTTCCAATTCATGAGGGGAGTTCCACAGGGATCCGTACTAGGGCAATTACTCTGGAATATAGCGTTTAATGAAATGCTGGAGGAACTTCAAGTGGAAGAGACGCAACTGGTGGCTTATGCAGACGATTTGGCTTTGGTAGCGACTGGGTGAACTATAGATGAGCTGGAAGAGAGACCGCAGTTGGCAATGAAAGTGATAATGGAAAGAATGGAACATCTCGGATGGGAAGTAGCTCCAAAAAAAACAGAAGCTGTACTCCTCAGAAGTAGAAAGAGTTCCAGGGAAGGAAACATCCAAGTTGGAAAAGTGTCTCTGAGCAGCCGACCGTCAATTAAATATCTTGGAATCTGGCTGGGTAGAGATGGGAAATGGGATGCGCATATAAAGGCAGTGTGTACCAAAGCGCAAAAGACAACCCAGGCACTACACCAGTTGATGGGTAATACCTACGGTCGGAAGGCGTTAAAAAGAACAACCATAGCGAATACAGTATACGTCCAAATCCTATACGGATGCAGAGTTTGGAGAGAGGCATGTGCAATAAAGAAGTTGGTGTCAACTCTTACAAGAATCCAAAGACAATTGCTGATAAAAACAACATGTGCATATAGGACGGTGTTCACAGTAGCATTGCAGGTGGTGGGTGGAGTACCACATATTGAATTAATGGTGTGGAAAAGAGCGGAGGTGTTCGAAAGAGGGGAAGAGAAGTGTGAGCTGGAACGGAAGGTATTGAGCAGATGGCAGGACTAGAAGACTGATAAGAGATGTGGGATCTTGGGTGAATAGACGATGGGGAGAAGTGAGTTATCATCTGATCCAAATATTAACTGGCCACGGATGCTTCAGACAATATCTGCATAAATTTAAGAAGGCTGCCTCTCCGGTATGTTTGTACTGCACAGAGGTCGATGACTTACGGCAAGCCGTATTTAAATATGTAAGATGGAAAGAAGCAAAAGGGGAAATGTGGAGGAAACTTGGCGGAAGACTTGATTCTTGGTCCAGTATGAGAAACTTTGCAAAGAAGGTGATAGGTGAGAAGTAAAGGAAGGAGAAGGAAATGGGAGAAGATACGGGGTAGGATTGGCCTCCCCCGCATTCAGGTACGAGTATTAATCTAAGCACGTCGAGCGATCGAGACTGATAGAGAGCAACATCCCAATACTAGGAGAGCGGAAGAAGACATATACATGGCTGTACCTGTTCAATACCCAGTATCTTGGAAGGAAAGATGCCACCGAAAGAAGAATGTATTGTTACATACCGCCGCCTCTGTGATGGTCAAAGCCCGAAGGGGCTATCGTAGCCCCACACTCCCGGCCGAAGCTATAACTATAATCTAGTCTACCATGGAAAGGCATCAACAGTAGGCCGGAGTGCGTAATGCATTTTCCCCTCCTCTGCGCCAAAAAAAAAAGGGTTGGGTTAGGTTGGGTTGGGTCATTCTGGGGTTGCTGGCAATGAATCGGCAGATGAGCTAGCACGAGAGGCCAGCGCTAAACCGTGTTTGGGTCCAGAACTAGCAGTTGGTATATCATTTGCGATGGCCAAACATAGGATTGTTGTCCGGTTTAGCCGTCATTAGAGACGTGCGGCTAATCCCAAATAATTCTAGTTCTTGGTCTAGTGTTACTTCTAGTTTTGCACTAGCACTAACACTAGAACTAACACAAGACCTAGAACTAGAATCATTCGAGTTTAGCCGTCTTGAGAGACGTGCGGCTAAACCCGAATGTTTCTAGTTCTAGGTCTAGTGTTAGTTCTAGTTTTAATTGTTATTCAGCGTTAGATTGAAGTATATTTTTATTGAACGAAAGGTAGAACTAACACTAGACCTAGAACCAGAAACATTCAGGTTTAGCCGTGCGTCTCTTAAGACGCAAACTCAGAGTTATCATAAAGACACCACCTTTTCCAAGCAAAACTTTTCCTTTGCAAAACTACCCAATATCTGTACTATTAAGCTGGGTTGCATTTTATGTGTAAGCAAGTGCATAGTAGTTTCGTAACTTATGTTTACAACATTCATATATTGTGAGTTATATGAAATTCCTAGTATAATTTATGTAATGTAATGTAATCTTCACGGACATTTCATAACCCACAGTTCGAATCTCAATCACATCAATTTCCTTAAGATAGATAAACGGCACGAAATCGTACAATACTGAAAGAATGAAGTAAATGTCGTTTTTGATAGTAAGTAAGATTTTACTGACCTGTCTCACGGGCGATCCGTCCGCGAAGACCCATTCCACTTCTGGAAAGGGACTCCCTTGGGCTGTGCAGTCCACACGGCCCCCGGAACTGTTGCTGAACTCGACTCGGTGTGGCGGTTCTTGCACGAAAATGGGCCCCTGCAAATCTAATCCGCCGCTCCACACTGAAACAATATGGAAACAATACGTATAGACGACGAAGGCTATTGAAAGGCCCCCACGGCGGAGAAGCGGCCAGCAATCCATGGTCGGTTCCACCGCAAATTCACCCTTTCCCACTTTTCTCGCATGAAGCGCCCCAACCCCTTGATAGCCGCGAACCATTGTACGGGTGGATTGCAAGGGATATTTACTCGTAATGGGTTTCGTAATGGTCTCTTGAATAAAAGACAAAAAATTTCAAGTGAAATGGAGGGTATTAGAGTCTTTACACATTATTATTATTGTTTATATACGATCCTATTTGTTATTATTCGTTCTCTAAACTTCAAAAGTTATATGAAAACAATATACATGTCACAAAATTCTTCAATCAAACACCAATAATATCAATAACCTTTATTGTGATAAAGATTTATTATTATCTGACTAAAAACGTGAATCATGCTGACAAAAAATATGATTTGAACGGAACCGATATGAACGATATGGTGCTCGCCTATCGAGAGCTTTTAGTTTCGCTTTTTTTCTTCATTTTGGCACCGACCGAAGGACGAAAATTATTCTCATTTTTCCGGAAAAACGACTCCGATAAATTAGGTTTTATTAAATTCCAGCTACCAGTCCCGATTTGCGCGAGATAGTGGAATTCCTCCCCGCTTTAAAGGTGACCTACCGTTGCCGTCGTTGCACATTTTTATTCCTCTTGGCTCACGTACCGAAGTCTTATTTGGTTATTGTTTACTACGCCGGCTTTTGTACCGCGTTCTTTTACAGATTTCTTCCAATAACAATATTGAAAACGGGAATATTCCGACCAGAATCGGAACAAACGGTTATTGGGTTCCGTTTTGCTATGGGAAAATTGATTCAGGTTTATTCGCGGTTTTCTACAAATTGAACTGTAAGCAATTTTCTCGATTTCATAAAAAGAATAAAATTGTTTATGTGTTATTATTGTTTTATTAATAATAACCGTTATTTACATTAATATTCTCATATCATTGTTTAAATATTAGCAAATTCCAATCGTTATTGAAATTAAAACGTTGCGGCGTTTGGTAAACCAATCCAACGTCCCATTGGACCTGTACAAATAGGTCCCAGCATTAATTTTAATCGTATTTGCGCATGGAGGCGGCGTTTACATTGCGTCTGGTTCGAACGACGCCCGTTTAGGGAAGGCCGCCGTTGGGATTATGAACTATAAATTAGGAGGGTGTTCGTTATTTAACGCGAACGGCCGCTAATATTTTCATAAAGACCCATTCTGGTTTCTGAATTAAAAATAAGCCGCAAGCGAAAAGAGATTACCGTTAACGCTGCGGCTACGTTAAACGCAGAGCTTAACGTAGCCGACGAACGTAATTACTTGCAAAACTTAAATCGGCGAAATTTCTATGTCAACATAGAAAATGAGGATATAATATGATCCTCATTTTATTCAACGAGATAACTGTAATTTTATTTTTTAGTTATAAAAATTAAAAGTAAAAAAGCAACAAGTAGTGCTAAGCGTTTTCCTGAAATTTCTCACATTTCCTCGCACTGTTTATTATCTTGAAACATGTAAAGTTTTCATTACGGAGGGAAATAGCGTGACTAGCATTTTATCGTGGGTGTAAAACTTCGTTGTTCAGTGACCGTTACGTGAAACGAAGATGGTAAAATTAATTAATTTCCCCAGGTAATTCTAGGTGGTTATTTCAAAAAAATAAGTAAAAAATAGCTAAGCAGCAGAAAAAAAAAAGAGCAGAAGATATAAAATAAAAGATTTAATGGCGACGATTATCGAGATATCGCCGAGTTTTGAACTATTCGCAACTGAGTAGTGGTAATCTTTATCGGCTAAAACCGTCAGAGAAGAAGGAACGATGCCGCTCACGGATCCATTACCATTATTACTTGCCTGAAGCAATACGGTAGATTGAACTTCGTTGTTGATCTAGATGTTACAGATTATATTGAATTGAATTGAGAATAGAACAAAGAATTTTTTTGTATATAAAAAGTATTATTTCTTGGATGAGGAAAAAGAAAATGTAAAAAGAAAAGCATCCATCTATCAACGCACAGAATTTCTACTCTTATTGCTGGAGACATGCAATTTTCAATCTGATAGGTGGTAGGTAGCGCTAGTTAGTATAAAATATCATTTTTCTGAAGATGGCTAAACCCGAAACTTTCTAGTTCTAGGTCTGGTGTTCGTTCTAGTTTTAGTTATTATGCAGCGCTAGACCAAGAACTAGAATCATTCGGTTTTAGCCGTCTTAAGCGACGTATGGCTAAACCCAAATGTTTCTAGGTCTAATGTTAGTTCTAGTAACAGTGCAAGTGTAAAACTAGAACTGCATTTTGCATTTTTGACTGGTTTTCAGCTAGTTAGCTTAGCGTAAATGAATCTAAGACTCAGCGGTTACTCTTCTCTTTGCGCGCACTAGGTGATAATGTTGATAACCCTACTGTCAAATATCTAGGAGTTCATTTAGATTGTAAACTTACATGGGAAGAGCATGCAATACGAACAACTAGTAAATTAAACAAAATTATTTACTGTATTAGAAATTTAATTAATATCGTTCCAGTAAATACAGTAATGACAATTTTATGGTTATTTTCATGCTCACTTATCATATGCCATTCTCGCTTGGGGTCATTCTGCACATGCTGCTCGGGTGTTTAGCGCTCAGAGACGATGTATTCGAGTGATTTCGAATTTAAAATTCTCTGAGTGTTGTAGAGCTAAATTTGTAGAGTTAAAAATCTTAACTCTACCTTGTATTTATATATTTAACTGTCTCCTTTACATTAAAAAAAATCTTCAGAATTTCAAAAGACATGATGAGGTCCATCATTATGGAACCAGACACCATGATAACCTCATGATTGATTATACTCGCACTGAAAGAGCTAGGGATGGCACTAATTATTATGGAATTAAATTTTTTAATTTGTTGCCTAATCCCATTAAATTACTTGATATTAATAATTTTAAATCAAGGATCAGAAATTACTTGTTAGCGAGAGCATTCTACAGTGTGGATGAGTACTGTCTGAGCACTTTTGATGACCTGGTATAGGCCTTATCTCGCATGCCTTACTCGTCCGGATTTGTGCCGTCGTTTATTGTAGATGTAGTTTTAAGATGTTCTTAATGTTGTTAATTGACTAGCGGTAATGTTACATGTATTTTTTATTATTTTGTTTGTTATGTATTATACGCTTTTCTGACTTGCGCAAATACTATTGTATGATGTCGCCAATAAAGGTTTATTATATTATTATTTATTACTAACACCATACTTAGAACTAGAATCATTCGGGGTTAGCCGTCTTTAGAGACGTGCGGCTAAACCCAAATGATTCTAGTTCTAGGTATAGTGTTAATTCTACATAGTAACAGTGCTAGTGTAAAACTAGAACTAACACTAGACCTAGAACTAGAAACATTCGGGTTTAGCCGTGCGTCCTTAAGACGGCTAAAGCCGAATGATTCTAGTTCTTGGTCTAGTGTTAGTTCTACTTTTGGTTCAATAAAAATATACAACAATCTAGCGTTGTATAACAATTAAAACTAGAACTAACTCTAGATCTAGAACTAGAATCATTTGGGTTTAGCCGCACGTCTCTAAAGACGGCTAAACCCAAATGATTCTAGTTCTAGGTATAGTGTTAGTTTTACATAGTAACAGTGCTAGTATAAAACTAGAACTAACACTAGACCTAGAACTAGAATCATTCGGGTTTAGCCGTCTTTAGAGACGTGCGGCTAAACCCAAATGACTCTAGTTCTAGGTATAGTGTTAATTCTACATTATAACAGTGCTAGTGTAAAACTAAAACTAACACTAGACCTAGAACTAGAAACATTCGGGTTTAGCCGTGCGTCCTTAAGACGGCTAAAGCCGAATGATTCTAGTTCTTGGTCTAGTGTTAGTTCTACTTTTAGTTCTATAAAAATATACAACAATCTAGCGTTGTATAACAATTAAAACTGGAACTAACTCTAGATCTAGAACTAGAATGATTTGGGTTTAGCCGTACGTCTTTAAAGATGGATAAACCCGAATGTTTCTAGTTCTAGGTCTAGTTTTAATTGTTATGCAGTGTTAGACCTAGAACTAGACTCATTCGGGTTTAGCTGTCTTAAGAGACGTACGGTTAAACCCAAATGTTTCTAGTTCAATCAAGTCAAACTAATAAACGACCTGACTGAACTTAATAATAGGAACAGATTTTTCATGACATTTTTATAGACACTCGAATCTATCCTTTTTCCCCCCCATTTTACTCACATACTCTATGGCATTCACGCATGCGCTATATACTGTTTTAACGTTAGCACGCCATAGTTATAAGCTATTAGAATGATCCTTTTGTAAACGTGTTTGACCCATAGTTGATTTATACTAGCCTTCCGTTTTTTAACATTCTTGACATAATTCGCTGTTAACAACCCTTCGTTCATACAATAGGCTAGCACTTAACGTTTCATTATCAGTTAATAAAGAAATCTTCCACGTGTGTTGCGTCGAACTTGTAACCGAATAAGTAAGTCGCTATTTTGCGATCAATAACCGTTTTTCGATGTTAATATCTCTATACTTTTAGAAAATCGAGAGCTGAATACGGAGTGAATCGTGACTTTGATATAGATAACGATTATTTTTATACTTGAACCGATACATAATTGTTAGTTAATGTTAAGTTCTCTTCACAACATGTATCGACAACATAATCATTTTCATCATTAATAATTCTGACGGTAAAAATTTTTGTCCTTATAATTGAAACATTGTAGCACCGAAACATTAATAAAATCATTCATCGCTCATTTTGGTTATATTTATTACAACAAGAAAGTTTCAGGTTTAGCCGTGCGTCTGAAGACGGCTAAACCCGAAACTTTCTAGTTCTAGTGTTAATTCTAGTTTTAATTATTATGCAGCGCTAGACCAAGAACTAGAATCATTCGGGTTTAGCCGTCTTATAAGACGTACGGCAA